GACTGGACCTGCCTGGACTGAGTCTACCAAGTTGATCACAGTCCTCGGGGGAGGACTTGTCCTGGAGGAGGTGGGAATGGAGGGTGGGCTGGGGGTAAGGGGAGGGTGTGGGAGGGGGGAGAATAGGGGAACCCATGGCTGATATGTAGAACTGAATGGTATTGTAAAATAAAAAATATATATAACAAAAAAAAAGAAAAAAAAAGTTAAAGGTGGCTGCAGAAGGATCTCAAATTCAAGGGTATTCTCAGTTCTCGGGTACATAGGCAGCTACAGGTTGGCCTAGGATATGTGTGTGAGTCCTCAGAAAAGTTTTGTGAGTGAGTGTGTGTGTGTGTGTGTGTGTGTGTGTGAGAGAGAGAGAGAGAGAGAGAGAGAGAGAGAGAGAGAGAGAGAGAGAGAGACCTAAGGAAGAAGAAAGGATGAAGCTGTGGTCCTTCCAGCTAGGTCCATTAATGTTAACTACTGTATTTGAATATTGTCTTTTTCTTAGGTTTTCATGGGTTTTAATCTATGCAGAAGGTTAGGGGATTAAATATATAGTTAAAATCAACCAATTTCACAATTTCATCTTGGTCCATTTATTTTTAAAATCATTGACATGAGCCAGGTAGTGGTGGCACACGCCTTTAATCCCAGCACTTGGGAGGCAGAGCCAGGTGGATCTTTCTGAGTTCGAGGCACCAAAACTACACAGAGAAACCCTGTCTCCAAAAACCAAAACAAACAAACAAACAAACAACAACAACAACAAAAAACAAGCTAAAGCCATGTGCTTACAGACCTCCGAATCAGTAAGAAGGGGAAAAAAAATGAAATGTCTGCTAACTCTTTTTTCTAAGATTACCTGAAGAAAGCAAAAAACTCAACCTTCCATTTTGTAAAAGAAGCTGGAAGGCCTGGTGGGCCTTCCCTAGCCATGTGATCTATAGGGTAGCTCAGCGTGTGCATGTCTTATGCTTTACTCCAGTATATGAGGCATGATATGTGCATTTATGATGGCTTTTTTAAAAGGGGAGGGACATGTTTTTAATTGGTCTTACTGTAACTGATGCTATCTTGGAACTGTGTAGCCCTGGATGACCTGAAACCTATTGCAATCCATCTTATTAAGTCCCCTTCATATTGGGGTTACAGGTGTGAGTCATGATATCTAGGTTTATAAACAAATTTAACATTGCTGCAGATAGTAAAGACCTGGCATGTTTTTTTTTCATGTCTTGGCTGCTTTTTAATGCATAGCATTGATTAATGAAGCAGAGCAGATGGTGGACTGAGACCTTGAAGACATCTGTTAATGTCTCTTTTATCATCAAATGCATAATCTTTTCACTGACTTCCTGTGAGGTTGATAAAAGTCTGTCTGAAGTCATTATTGGGTACTAATTTGCAATCTTTATTTAACAATGAAATAAATGAAGAAAGTCCTTCTGGCAGTGGGTTTGAACTGAACAATTGAAAAGAGGGCATTATACTTC